TACAACTGAAACTGTGTTTAAATATAATTTAGTGATTATTTATTTATCTGGTTTATCTAGTGTCGAAATTATTCCATGTTACGAAAAATTATGTCTCATTTGTACTTCTGTGTATCGTGCGCTTTAGTTAGAACATACTTGATCAAACTGCGCACAATAATATCTGGAATTATCAAACCTTTCCGACATTGAAAAGACTCAAACACCAAGTTAATTTTCCCCATGCCCTCCAACAATACACTGATTGGTTTTGCTGAACTAAAGATATATCGTATCGTACTTCACTGTAACTATATAGGATATTCCTTTTTTCCCTCGATCATTGGTTAATTGTTCAACAGATATCTCACAAAAAATGGACAAATCATTCCTTACTATACATGTATACATGCATAGGCTTTGGATATAATAAAGCCAAATCAACCACAACGGCCTCGATATTAAAAATATCAATATTCTTGCACTCGCTACTCGAACAGGTGCTGGCTAATTAATTATAAACTGACCATCATGCTTACTTATGTTCACCGAATCGATATTAAGAATATCACCATCGTTACGCTCAATTCTCGGACATGTACTGGATAATTGAAATATCCGTCATGCTTACCAATGACCATGGAGTCGATATTTAGAATATCACTATCGTTGCACTCACTTCTCGGGCATATACTGGATAATTAAATTGGCCATTTGCATTCTTATGTCCACGGACTCGATATTTAGACTACCACTATCGTTATATACTCTACCCGGGCATGTGTAATGGCTATATAATGTTGCTAAATGCTTATTAATGTCAATGGACTGCCTTAATCATTAATGTTACTCTGATATGTGTTACGCTTGGAATCCTCCCCAAATGTACTATAACCGTTTATTCCTCATATAACGACAGGACAGGACAGGACACGGCACGACATACCATTATAACACCCATTATGTCGAAGTATTTATATAAAATATTTGCAAAATAGGACGTACAGTGTTCTGTATGATAGGTGTAGGGGAAGAGGAATGTGTGCATATGGAACGGTTTTGTTTGTTTATTATTAGATACTCCTAATGTTTCATTTTAAAATTTTCATTTGCATACATGCATATATTTTCCCAGCATCTACTGTTGTATAAGAAGAGCATAATTTGTTCACAATGTATACTAACGAGAAAAAGTAACTGTGCTTTATATAAAGTTCAATAAAAAAATATTCTGAAATTATCTTATGGATCTTACAATACATATTCATGAAGACGTCTTCTCGACGGTCGTAATTCACAATTTGCACGGCGCACAATTTGGAGGTTTGTGTGTTTCTTGGGACCATGATACTCACACACATGTTTTTTTAAATGTGAACAGCATACAGTGTATTTTTAGCTACCATAGGTGTTCATAAAATACCTTTCTTTAACCGTTAATAACGCTTACGCAATGCAAAGTCTACGCGCCGTGGGCATGCTGCCACAACAGGCATGGCGCAAAACAAAGTTGCCAGACGATTTAATGTTCATTGAAACACAAAATCATCTCTTTTGGCAGGGCAACACTCATGACTTGCCACAGGTTCGTCGTCCACATATGACGTCACGTCAACAAGATAACCATATTCGGTTGGTACATCTACGGAATCGATACCAAACTGCCATACAATTTCTGGGTTGAGATCAGTTAATGGCGGAACCGTACGCAACCCATTGAGGGAGCACCGGCACCGGCGTCCAGTGAAGCTCCCAGTTTTGCTTCCACGTCACTGTCAGGCACGCCTTGCGTGGTGTGCAAAGCATCTGAGATCCGCAAAAAAAAGACTACGATAGTGTATCCATGCTTCCTCTGGATAGCTCTGGTGGTCGTAGAATAATCAACAGGCGTTCAGGACGTCAGTTTGGGGGTGGGAGTGTAATGGTGTGTGGTGGCATCACAACACAAGGGAGAACACAACTCATCATTATTAATGGCAATTTGAATGGCGTACGCTACAGGGACGACATCGTTTGAGATCATGTTCTACCTTTGTGCACATGCACGGACGTAATGTCACGTTGCAGCAGGATAATGCCCTAACACTTGTTCCACGTGCTGTAGCAGACATTTTGAGCTAGGATAACATAGTTGTTCTACCACGACCGGCTGTTCCTCCAGACCTCGTGTCTGGGATGAAGCGGATCGACGCCTACGACATTACCAGAACCGGCCGGTAACGCTACCTCGGTTGGGCCAATATTTGGTTGATATTTGGAACAACATCCCCCCCCCCCCCCCCCCCCCCCCCCCGGTTGTTTTCAATCATCTGGTGTCTTCAGTGCACCGCCGGTGCCCCACCTGTATCAACGCAAATGATGTTCACAGCCGGTACTGACATTGTTAATGTAGCGGTTACACAACCCCTATTTTAGGGCGTGTCTCTTTGCCTCATGTTATAAGGTATTGGTTGTGGCAATTAATAAGTCAGCTTCAGCTTAAACTTCTTTGTCTTCTTGGAAAAACAATCCAGACTAAATATGAAAAGACATATTTATTTGATGCAATAATTTGATAACAGAAACAGTAACAAAGTAATACAACTTTTATCACGGTTTTCATATATTATAACTTCTGATGAACAAGTGTATGCAAGTATAAATGATACAACGAAAATATCGTAATATTATAAACCATCTTCACATCGCAATCTTGACTTTAACTGGATGGAATGTGGCAATATAGTACACTGCTGTTCAAGCATAGCAGCATATATCACGTTAACACATGTACAACGGTATAACATAGCGTATAGGATTGTGTATAGCATATACATCCTACAAATATGTCACATTGGTTCCCATGGCAACTTTGAAAAGGCCACACATGCTTCATACATTATATTGCATATTTCATGAATCGTAATGAATCACTCGGACAAATTGTGAATAATAAGTGCCATTCATAATTCTAATTGTATGCTCGGGATAGTTTTCCCAAACATTTCAATGGGCGGTCGGGTAGCCTAGTGGTTAAAGCGTTCGCTCGTCACGCCGAAGACCCGGGTTCGATTCCCGACATGGGTACAATGTGTGAAGCCCATTTCTGGTGTCCCCCGCCGTGATATTGCTGGAACATTGCTTAAAGCGGCGTAAAACCATACTCACTCACTCACTCCCAAACATTTCACTCGATTTGGAACATTGTCAGTTGTGTTTAGCTCAATGGGGTTGGAATAATGTGCTGCAGATCGCAGACGCTTGCCAAATTGAAACACAAAAGCATGGGTATCTTGCTGACAGTGTTCCAATCCCGCGATCAGCGGATCCTGGTAGACTAATGGAGCGAACTCTGTACAGCGACTTCCAGTATGTGCTTATACATGAGCCACCAGTATTGTATGTACATGATCTGGGAAATAATATCAATATTGTCTTCTTGCACTTGAAAACACTTCTTTCTTTGATATTTCAATTCATTCACAATACTGTCTTGAAACCATTCAATCAGATGAAATTGTAACGTCTTATTAATTTGTTCACGGGTAACAAAGTAACAAAATAGAGTATTATGCATAAAAGAATAAACACCACGCGAAGCATCACAAACTTTTGTGTTCGATTAAAGACAACTCATTTGATCACGCCTCAAAATGGTAGCAAATGACGTAAAAGGTCATCGAAAGTAGTGTTCACACATTATGTGAATTGTATGCAGTACATTAATGGGTAGACAACTACAATAACACATTTGCAAGTTATTAGGTTCACGTGATCAGGTCAATCGCTATAACACCATACCAACAATTTCATTTATACCTTCCTCGCGGCAAACCTCGTCTGTATTGAATCCTGACCAAATTCTCCAACTGCATGCAATAAAAAGGACACTGTCATAACTTTGTCTGGCTCAAACGTAGACCAAACTGGCCACTAAATGCCATAGTAAGGACGCTGTTTATAACCTCATCTGGCTCGAACTAAGACGATTTTTGCCAACTGCATGCATTAAAAAGGACACTGTCATAACTTTGTCTGGCTCAAACGTAGACCAAACTGGCCACTACATGCCATAGTAAGGACGCTGTTTATAAACCTCCTCTGTCGAATTCAGACCAAACTGGCAAAGGCATGCAATATTAAGGATGCTGTTTGTAACCTCATCTGGTTCGAACTAAGACGAGTTTTTCCAACTGCATGCGCTATTTAGAACACTGTTTATAATCCTCGTCTGGCTCGAACTCACACCAAACTGTCCAGCTGCGTTAAGGAATATTAATTAATATATATTGAGAAAAGGGTAGGGAGGTATATGTATTCTATACAAAACGTTTCCATATTAATCGATATATACTCAACATTTGATAAGGATACGAATATTTCAGAATATTGAATAAAAATATACATCTTTATCATGGAATAATAGGAATAACCATATCAAACGTTGAACAATATACGATATGCGTTGAAAGGAAAACATGTTTATGTTCAACATAGATGCACACCGCGCAAAAATAATGAAAATGTGATGGTGGTCAATCAAAATACAGTATTGTCCCACTGAGGACAGGGTCAGCCGTGAATACTTTCTGAACACTTTTCAATAACCCTTCCATGTGAGATCCGAAGAAAATGCTTTACATCTGCATAAATACACAAGTACGCGATACCTGTAATATTATCAAAGAGTGGAAACCCGCCACCACGATGTTAAGTCGGTGTTTTAAAGTGATAATTTTATACCAAACTGTGTGGGGAGATTTTAATTTCAGTGGTGTCGCTGGAAATTTCAAATTCGAGGGATGCTCACTTTTATAACAGACATATTTTATGTTTTATAACATGCATGTGGATTACTTAATATTTGAATATCTAGTTTGGCTACAAATTGGGAAGTATCGGTGGGGGGTATAGGAGTAATGGGGCGATTACACCCGTCTATTATTTTCATTTACTGTGACAATATATGTGACCCGCCATGGAGAGAAGAGACCTTATGAGTGCTAGGACGCAACTGTGGTGTGACGTCATAAAGAAAGACGTTTGACGTCAACTTACTTCCGTAAAAATGACGTCACGTGTGCGGACTGTAAAAACGTACCATATTGTCTCTCGTTAGTTCGTAATGAAATCAAAATATGATTTCTAAGCATTTCAGCGTACAGGTCTACTTTCAATTAATCAGACATGATATCTTAAAACTGCAATTATTACATAAACAGTAATAAGCCTGATGGGATTTTGCAGAATATGAGTCCAAATGTTTGGTTCCATGTGTCTATGTAATGAATACGAATTGAAGATCACCAGTTATATTTTATGGATCTAAAATGCTGTTGATTTAAAAATATAGTAAGAAGTCCAAATGTGATTTTTCACCAATAAGGCCCCTCATCTCATGGTTGGTCACGTGTAACTACTCACAAAACAAACATATTTACATTGTTATCTTATACTGGTTAAATCGAACTTGACCGTTCTCAACTGGTACAAGGCAACCCATATTAAGCTGCACTGGCGGGCTGTGCGTAAACATTTGCATACTATACATATAAATATAGTATAAATCCTCTCACATTCACATTCAAATAATTGCCGTCGTTTGGCAAGGTGGCTACTGTGGTTAGGTCATGCTCACGGACATCTCGTATCGGATATAACGTACTTTGATTGTAACGAACTCGGATATATCGACCTCTAGGGAGTCTAATCACGAATTCGGTTTATCCGAAGGTTGTTATTTACATGAATATTAGCATACATTACCATACCTGAGGGATTAGATTTCTTCCTTACTATTCGCTTCATTCGATGTCGTTATAAATGAATTTGACTATTCAATAACAAAATCACATAAGCTTCTATCTATCAAATGAGTATTCAACCAATACGATTCTTCTCTGTCCATGGCGCAGTTCTGTGCGCAGTGAAACCCCACTCTCAACACGGAATAGTTGGAAGTCTCTGTAGATAATAAACGGTATAAAACCATGGACTGTTAATCCAAAAATTCGGGCGCTTTCACACTAGGTAAAGCTTACGCCAGGGGAACAAATGATTTTTAGTAGCGGTGGGGTAGCCGAAAACATCTCTGTAGATTCGTTTCACGGAAAACATGCGTGAAGACCCTTTTTAGTTCATTATCGTTGAATTACTGGAACTTTTCTAAAAACGTTATTATATTACCCGCTATGATAGGAAGTCCGTGTATGGACATATTTACGGTTCGTTGGACAACACTGCAAGACATTATTCGGGGAATAAAGGTTTGAGAGGGTATAAAGTCATTGTCAGCCCGACTCAACGCCAAGATCTTGAAGGGATGATCACACTATATGTCGACAGCTTGACCTGCATGGCGTTTTTGAGGCACCAACGACGTTAATTCCTTTGGGGTTGTCTCTGACCACACGTGCCCTTTATCAGGAGATTGAGCGGATTGACCAGTGAGAGCAAGAGCAAGCACAGCAGGAACAGGTTCACCTGAAATGTAAGGCAATTTGTTTGTATGGGGCAAGTTGACTGCAATCCATCGCCTACACTCGCTTTGAACGATACATCCGTTATATCGTGTCAGCGTTATTTGAAAGGAATGTGGAAAGCTCGAGGTTACCGTTCTTGGAGACGTTTACCATTTTGATGAAAGCCAAAAGCGTGAGATTTGCGGTGAGATGAATTGGAGTTTGACGTCGCATTCGATATTGTTGGACTTGCGTGTTTGTGTGTGGATGTGTGTGTGTGCGCGTGCGTGCGTGCGTGCGTGCGTGCGCGCGTGTGTGTTTGAATGCCGGTTTCATGGTGTTAGCCCACTGAGATACCATGCTGCAGTTTAACATGGATAGCCCACTCAGACACAGTACACTGACTCCGAGCCGACCAGACTTTATGTTATCTCCTTAATGCCTAGGAATAACAACAGTTACAACATCTCAACGTTTTTTGGTATGACACGACCGGGGATAGAACCACCGACCCTCCGCTCTCCGGGCAGACGCTCTACCCCCCAGACCCCGGAGGTGGTCTCATGATCAGTGAATAAACATGTAATGACCACATTTGGAATGAATCTGGGATTCAAACCAACTACAAGCGGCAAGCAGGTACTTACCCCCTGGGCCTCCCGTGCCATCAGAAACTGCTTATACATCGGAAAATGGTAAGAAGTGTGTATGTTATAGCCAACTGTTTCGTAAATACGCCCTCGTTATATCCGGAATATGTACTTACGGAAATGGGAGCAAAGGGTCCGCTTGCAATCCACGTGAATATAGCGTACTGGAGAAAAAGAACGATGCCTGCTGTTGTGAACACAATTCCGTAGAACACACCAAAATACTTCCGGGGGTACCTGTAAAAATATTTTTTCTTTAACTGATGGATCATAACACTATTTATGTCCGTTAAAAGTGGCCAGATTAGCTTACAGCCCGAGTTACATGTACAGTAAATTACGGTTATAACGAACTCAAAGGGACCACTCATGTTGGTTCGTTATATATACAGTAAACTACGGTTATAACGAACTCAAAGGGACCACTCATGTTGGTTCGTTATATATACAGTAAACTACGGTTATAACGAACTCAAAGGGACCACTCATGTTGGTTCGTTATATATACAGTAAACTACGGTTATAACGAACTCAAAGGGACCACTCATGTTGGTTCGTTATATATACAGTAAACTACGGTTATAACGAACTCAAAGGGACCACTCATGTTGGTTCGTTATATATACAGTAAACTACGGTTATAACGAACTCAAAGGGACCACTCATGTTGGTTCGTTATATATACAGTAAACCATTATAACGAACTTAAAGGGACCATTCATGTTGGTTCGTTATATATACAGTAAACTACGGTTATAACGAACTCAAAGGGACCACTCATGTTGGTTCGTTATATATACAGTAAATTACGGTTATAACGAACTCAAAGGGACCACTCATGTTGGTTCGTTATATATACAGTAAACTACGGTTATAACGAACTTAAAGGGACCACTCATGTTGGTTCGTTATATATACAGGAAACTACGGTTATAACGAACTTAAAGGGACCACTCATGTTGGTTCGTTATATATACAGTAAACTACGGTTATAACGAACTTAAAGGGACCACTCATGTTGGTTCGTTATATATACAGTAAACTACGGTTATAACGAACTCAAAGGGACCACTCATGTTGGTTCGTTATATATACAGTAAACTACGGTTATAACGAACTCAAAGGGACCACTCATGTTGGTTCGTTATATATACAGTAAACCATTATAACGAACTTAAAGGGACCATTCATGTTGGTTCGTTATATATACAGTAAACTACGGTTATAACGAACTCAAAGGGACCACTCATGTTGGTTCGTTATATATACAGTAAACTACGGTTATAACGAACTCAAAGGGACCACTCATGTTGGTTCGTTATATATACAGTAAACTACGGTTATAACGAACTTAAAGGGACCATTCATGTTGGTTCGTTATATATACAGGAAACTACGGTTATAACGAACTCAAAGGGACCACTCATGTTGGTTCGTTATATATACAGTAAACTACGGTTATAACGAACTCAAAGGGACCACTCATGTTGGTTCGTTATATATACAGTAAACTACGGTTATAACGAACTTAAAGGGACCATTCATGTTGGTTCGTTATATATACAGTAAACTACGGTTATAACGAACTCAAAGGGACCACTCATGTTGGTTCGTTATATATACAGTAAACCATTATAACGAACTTAAAGGGACCATTCATGTTGGTTCGTTATATATACAGTAAACTACGGTTATAACGAACTCAAAGGGACCACTCATGTTGGTTCGTTATATATACAGCAAATGACCGGGAGCAAAACAGTTCGTTGTATCCGTGAGTTTGTTATAATCGTGTTCGTTATAAACGTAGTATGTATATGGTCCGTTTACTCTGACATGTACACCTAATGGGAATGTCGACGTAGGTCGAAGACGTCTACAACTTTCGTTAAATCCACTTAGTACGTGTCAGATATGGTAATGACAGTGCATGGTAATAATAATAATAATAATAATAATAATAATAATCAGCGGAGCCTAGCACGACTAAGGGACACAACTCTTCGCATTGACCCCATAACAAACGTTTCTGAAGTTTGAAAGTTGTGAGTCGGTATTTAAAAGTTATTTTGCTTTCATTGAAAACATAAACTGTAAACAATTTCACAGGTAAATCAGTATTCGATTCAAGATACCACTTACACGTCCACAATGAATGACCACGTGAGCGCAAACACACACTGCTTGTAGATGACGAAGAGAACGAACAGCGCATACAGGATCTCCTCAGCTTTGATAAACTGCAGACCCACAGTTACCGCCCCTAGCAATGTTGTCATGGTGATAGGGAAAACAGCCGGAAGTAGCTGTCGATGATATCCTTTGTGTTCTGCATCATAAAGACATTTGCTGGTCAATGATTGGCGAAACATCACGGTTTAATGTACGCATTAATCATTATTCACTCTTGGTGTTCATGAGATACAGTTTTTTTGTGACAACTTGGGATTTTATCAAGTGGACAGACCAAAAAATAACATAGGACCCAGTCCTAGATCTGGGGGATAACCGGATCCAATTTGTCTACTCCAACACGCCAAAGAACGTTTACAGCACACAGAAGAAATACGATGAGATACAGGCTGTGAGATCAGGAATGTAGTCAAGCCAGAGCTGGCAAGGGGGTTTTAACATATCTCTATAGATGCTGTCAACATGGCGAAACTCCAGTGATAATATTATTAATAGTGTTCTTGATAATGGATCCAACGATAGGCATCGTATTATCTTTAAGAACCTATGCAGGGAGTCAAATTAAGTTGTCACTCTTCGTCGGATATATTGAAGGAAATACATTTCAATTTGTCATCGCTTTCTAGGTTCGAGATTCCGGAGTCCGACTGTATCTTTAAAAACCTACGTTTGGTCTTACCTTTGAATGCCATTCTTTGACAGTCGTAGAGAAATCCCCCAACCACAGCAAATATAGCCGCACACATAAGAGAGAAGGAAAACACATCTGTGAAGTGGTTGACTGAAACATACAGGGAGTATGACTGGAGTATGCACATACATATTACTATTTATCACACCATATATTAAAATACTAGCTTCTGATTGGTTAAGGACAGAGCAATTATTTTCCACGAAGGCCACTCGTGTACCCTGCTGAGAAATCAATCGGAACACGCCTTAGGTAACTTACTTATCTCGTATCGTTGAGTTAAAAGAACCGATGTTTATTCGAATGTATTTGTAAAGGGAAGTAACTCGGTTCGTTTGCGCCACCTGCTCGCTGTCAAGATGGCTGAATCAGAACGTTTTACTCAGTGAAACTTTGGAGATATATTCCGGGTCTGTATGACTTTGAGTCAACTGATCCCTCAGGGTATTCGGTATTCGGTACTCTGTGTGTGAGCCGATGTACCTCTCGCCTTACGGCTCGTTGTAAATATACTCACACATCACACCATACAACAATGTCACACTATCACTCCCAGGTCGCCTAGTGGTTACACCGTTCGCTCGCGACTCCAAAGACCGGGTTTCGATTCCCGCATGAGTACAATGTGTGAAGCCAATTTCTGGATCCCCGCCGTGATATTGCTGGAATATTGCTAAAAGCGGCGTACAACCATACTCACTCACTCAGTTTTGATAAGGGAAACTATTTCAGCAAAAATAAATCTTTTGCCAAATATTGATAAAATGTGTCAAAACAATCCTGCATGTATCAAACTCTGTTGACAAAACAATCACGTTGAGGGTTTCAGCTGAGTGGACTACAGAACCAAACCATTATCCATAAAGCCGACACGACAAAAGGTCGAGCGGTTATAACGTGTGACCAGAAATATAAGGTGTCATGGCGCCCTGTCCATACTACCAAGAACCGGTTGTGAGGGTTGTAGGCGTTGTCGGGCTACAATGGCTACAAACACACAAAGCTCTGAGCCTGACAACCACCTGACCAAAAAATATGTATTTGTAACGATTCTTACGATCATTTTGAGATATGCGGATTGTATTCTTACTCGGGTTCCAAATGGTTTGTTTACAAACGCAGCTAAACCATTGCTGACCTAAATCCTCTGGACCATCCAGCATATTAATAGTTTATCAGTATTCACGCCCGCGGTGAGGATTGCTCAGTGGATTGTGTCATATTAAACGTACTGTCAGAGCTTATCGACAAAGGCTATTTAAAAGTGCAAAACAAAAACAGAACTAATTTTAACCTACTGCCACGTTTGTCAATTGTATTGCAGGTATATTCCTATCTCGTAACAACCTCTTGGGAGGTTTTACTCTTTCTTATTAAGACCTCATCCCGGGTATGAGGTTTTACTTTTTCCCAGTAAAACTTGGTATGAGGTTTTACTTTTTCCTTGCGAGACTTGATGAGTAGGAAATGAATTTTGTACTTGGTGTTTCAAACGTCCAATGTTCTAAAATCGAAGGGGGCGGTCGGGTAGCCTAGTGGTTAAAGCGTTCGCTCGTCACGCCGAAGCCTCGGGTTCGATTCCCGACATGGGTACAATGTGTGAAGCCCATTTCTGGTGTCCCCCGCCGTGATATTGCTGGAATATTGCTAAAAGCGGCGTAAAACCATACTCACTCACTCACTCACTCACTCTAAAATCGAAGACAATAATTGATGGACGACGGGAATAGAACCTGCAGCCTCATATATCGTGTTTAGTTAACCAACTTTACTACCGTGGCCGGTGGTGAAAACTTGTTCAATTTTACAAGTCATGAATCCAGTTGGTCGATGTTGCACGTGTTTCTTTGCTCTCGCACGCTTTGATCTAATTCCTGTTATACCGCGACACACCGTATTGTTTCACTATAAGGTATCTCGACGTTTGCTTGTTTTTTTCTGTTATTTCTTGTATTTAGACGGGTCATAGGTGAGATAAAGCAGGTCTTGGATGTGTACCACTGTGAAATATAGGAGCTCATCGCTCTAGCTGTCCCCATATACAGACAGCCACGTTTTACCTACAGCTTCGACCCGTGAATATCAGAATAGGTCTTCAGCAACCAATGCTTGCCGTAAGAGCCGACTAATAGGATCGGGTCATCAGGCTGGCTGACCATGTTAATGCACGTCATCGTATCTCAAGTGTGTGGATCGATGCTTATGATGTGAATCACTGGATTTTCTGGTCCTCACTCGATTATTTACAGACCGTTATACAGCTGGCATATTGTTGAGTGCGCCGTTAAACAACAAACAAACAAACAAACAAACTAACAGCTTCACGACATCCCCTGAACTTCAATATTATTGGACTCGCATATCTTGAGGCAGACTATAAAGTAATACCTAGTATGTATTTTCAGCTCCCTGTGGAGTATACAACCCAAGCTGCCTTGTCAGGACCTAGACGTTAACAGTCACAATACCATCTCGTCCTCCCGGGTACCCAGTTTTACTGCTGGGTGAACAGAGGCATATTTCGAAAAAAACCACTTGACTGAGGAGACACCACATGTGCTACAAAACATATGTTTCATGACAAATAGTCTCTCATAATTTCGATTTCATGTCCGTGGTGATGAGACTGAAGGTGTGATATTTCAGGCATAAACGTGATTGGTAGGATACACATCACACGTGTCGCACTCCAGCTATGTACATGACCTCATAAACAGTCCATATGTTGCACACAATTATAGAACACTTGCCACTGTGGTATACATGTAATATCGATGGGTGTGAAGGCAGTGCTGACCTCAATTTCACCTATATTGTATTCTTGCAGTGAAGCATTTCTTAAGAGACGCGACCTCATTATCACATTTCATCGGCTTTGATATATCATTCGGCAGGTACGCATTACAAGCGATGGTGTCCGGTCACACTTGGTGGTTTTCTATACCAATGTGATTTTTAAAGAATATTCAGCTCGCTCCCGGGTGCATTTTCCCGAGGCAAGGGACTTGACTGAAAAGTCCAGATTTCACCCTTGTCGAACTAGACTGGAATTTCCAGGCTATATCGTAGCGCCACCGGTGGCAGTTATGAGTTATGGCCCTTCTATGCCCCTCCTATCGACCAATCAGATTCCATCTCTCTGGAAGATGTTCCGTACAATACCAATTTTATGAAACGGTGAATAGTTCTGACGAGAGTCAGATACCAGAACTATTCACGAGTGACATAAAATTGGTATTTCACGGGAATGAGTATTTTATAAATTACTTGCCACTTGTAACATTTTAAAACCTCGCTTGATCGAACTATGGGAATTTCCATCATAAACTATATCAAGCGTATGAATACAATATGTAACTATCGTTTGTGCATCATCAGACATCTACGCGATCCACAGCATAATCTAATTGAGCTCAACAGAATAATTCAACAATAAACACATTAAAAGTTGACACTTATTAATTTAATACCATGGAACGGCCAACCTTTAGAATTCATCACCGGCGAAACAATGCCCTGTGACGTCAGCCTAGCATCAGGGTTGCTGTGGTCATCGAAAGTACATAAACTCCTCTCAATGATCTATCATCTCTACACACAATGTCCTTGAATATGCCCAGCGATGTTGAGAGTTTTCAGAATTTGTTAGTGAAACTAGTTCATCGTGAGATAACAACAAGCGTTGTTATTAAACACTGTGTAATACCAGCTTATTGTTATTAAACACTGTGTAATACCAGCTTATTGTTATTAAACACTGTGTAATACCAGCTTATTGTTATTAAACACTGTATAATACCAGCTTATTGTTATTAAACACTGTAATACCAGCTTATTGTTATTAAACACTGTGTAATACTAGCTTATTGTTATTAAACACTGTGTAGTACCAGCGTATTGTTATTAAAGAGTCGTATCTTCAACGAGCGAATAATAAGGACATCTCGAACTTGGCATAACCATTCTCAAATGTCAACAGGTATATACAACCATCCGCTGAGACGGTGTCACTACAACCGTTACATATACACACATTTATTTCATTGGTTTTCCTCATCTGATCCACATACAATACTGCTCAAAATGCGTGACGTTCGCGAATACACACCAACTTGCCATTGTCTCTATAAATAAGTTATGTTGACCTCGTAATATTGGTTACGATGCATATGTTTTGTTGACTGGCGCAGTGTCAGATGTCTGTGCAGACCGCGGTGACAACCATGACACAAGCCCTTTAATTTCTGAGGCATTGAAAACTGTTCAAGCGATCACACAGGGCGACACCAATCTTTATATAGATGTTTTCGTGCATACACTATATGTCTAGATCCGGTGACACTGTAATACACAGGGTAGACTAACCCTAAGTCTCTGAAACTACACACTTGCGATAGATACAAGGGCGGTGGGCTAGCCTAGTGGTTAAAGCGTTCGCTCGTCAGGCTTAGGGCCCGAGTTCGGTTCCCCACATGGGCAAAATGTTTGAAGCCCATCCCCCGAAGTGATATTGCTAGAATATTGCTAAGAGCGGCGTCAAACAATACTTACTCACTCACTGAATGAAACAAACAACTCCATTTAAATTGAAAGGGTCCCCAGTGAACCCCATTTTGACCTCAAAATGTACAAAATGTAAAAATAACACAGTTCTATTTTTTCAGATATTTTTTTCTAAACTAGAACATTACTTATCGACTGCTCATTAACCTAAGGAATGGGGCAAGAAAAATATGTTACAAGTATTTCGTGTGACCACGAAACAATGTAACATACAATGGGGGCGGGGTGGGGGAGGGGGTGGGGCTAGGGGTGGTGTGGGCTAAATATAATACAGCCCTATGACCAATCACCCCCCCCCCCCCCCCCCCCCCCCCCCTCCTCCTTCCCAATATTAAATGAGCAGTCCCTTCTTTGGCGTCGGCATTGCACGTAACTGTCGCGTGCTGTTGATGTTTGGTTATTAAACCGCTTCGTTGTTGTACTTGATGTATTTCACTGCTCATCAATAAAATATTTAAAGAACGTTTATGTGTTAGAATTAGCACGGCACATGTTGCATCATAGGACCACGTCGATATTTATGTACGGCGCGGCCAGCTCCCATAATCGTGATACTAGTTTAGACAAACACAAGTGCCTGGATCTCGATCCATCTGCTTTATCACTCGACGTATCCCCATTGTTTTCTTGTCGCTGTGTCCAAAACTACATTGTCCACATCTTCTCCAGACCAACTTAATGATATGAGATGAAACTAGGTGTCAGTCTTTCTGACGCCGATTTAATCAGTATCGAAATCCAAAATGGCCGCCAGAGGTAGCCATTTGTATATTTTTTAAGTAATGCGCTATGCCTTCCAAACACCAAGTTTCTATTGGGCGACAGATTATATGTTGCGTTTATTATGCAATAGTCAATTCTTCATGGCATCGTGATTGGCAATAACATATGGCCTTGTTTTGGTTTGTAAAACAAATTCAGATAAAGCTTTACGAATACAATAATGTGTGGTGGCACGTGGTCCCGTGTACAGTGCACATCACAAAAAGGGTCAAGGTGCGCAACGTTGGTCACGGAAAGTCCTTGGATTGGGGACCGCGTTCGGCAGTTTGGCTCCTGGGAGTTGTGATGCTACACTGAAACACATGTACGTGAGGTGGTGTCTCCTCAGACAAGTGACTTTGTTCTTTGAATCTGTAGACCCAGCAGTGAATTATATGGGTACCCGGTAGGATGAGATAGTAATGGCTGTTACATTTCTAGCGCCCACAAGCAGTTTGGGTTGTATTCTCCCCAGGGAAGTGAGAATGAAAATTCCTGTGCTAATTGATCTATTGACTGAGGTAATGGTGGTACACTAAGCACGAGTTTGGAGCGAACCCTCATTATCATTATTATTATTTTACAGATTAAAATAAAAAATGCAGCAAAGAGGGTTTGGGTGATCCTGGCAAAGTCAGGCTGGTTCGGCTCATCATCAGCTCAGGGCCCTTGCCCACTCTACACGCAGCCACGACGGCGAATTGGACTTCTGTCTAGTCAAACCCACCCAGAACTTTTCGGAGAATGTGAAGACTCCCCAACTCTGCAGCCTTCTGCATTACCCAGATTGTCAGAAGGGTTGTATGCCTGGTAGCAAACCCGGGTACTCTCACAATGTCAGTCAACAGATTGGGAGGTACCAAACCTAAGGCACCGAGAACAATGGGGAGTCGGACAACTTGGTACTTGGGATGCAGGCGTGACATTTCGAAAGCGAGGTCCGCATATTTGCCATGTTTTTCCTCAATCTTGTCTATCACATTAGCATCAAAAGGGACAGAAAATTCAATGAAATAAATGATTTCATTGGATTCAACAAAAAGGACAAGATCAGGTTCTTTGGCCTGTATACGTCCGAGGCTGTATACGGGCCTGTTTCAAAGAATTATTTATTCATCATTCTCCATGACCCCTCTACATATCCCGGGTCGTACCATGGATGGACCTCTGTGTTAAAACCACAAGCATGGCGAAGACGGTAATAAAATGATAGAGCCACCCCATCATGTCGTTTAAGATACTGTGTTTGTCCCAAACCTGGGCATCAATTGACAATGTGTTGGAAAGTATCATTAAATTCATTTCATAATCTACATTTAGTATTTGCATTTTGATGCAAAATCACACATTGACGGTTTCGAGTTGGAAGTGACTGGTATTAGTATTAGTATTAGTATTAGTATTAGTAGTGGTAGTAGTAGTATCACCCTTGATGTTGTTGTTGTTGTTATTGTTGTTGTTATTATTATTTTAGTATTCTCTTATTATTAATACTTTTAAACAAATCAGCTCACCTTTGCCTGTGTCCCTCTGAAGTACCCGTTCTAACATGGCGTTGGAAATACCAATAAATGTGAGTAGATAGAAGTCGTTGACCACGAACCAGAAGAGATGGAACATGAAGGTTCTGTTGAACACACAGCTTCTGAGAGTAGGCGTGACCTCTTCCACAACAGCAGATGGCAACATGGGTGAGTCCATATCATGCCTAGGGGAGGTAGGTGGACTACCGTTTGCTAAGGTGAGTTCTTCCACTTGTTCTTTACCTGTAACGAAGAGGAGAAACAGACCCGGATGATGAATAACGCTAGCTGTACAGAAGATGCTTAGTGTCAGCAGCTACATGAAAGGTGAGGTGAGGTGAAATGGGGTTTAACGTCGCGTCCAAGATTATTGCACTTATATAGCGACGTGCATGTACGTGTGTGCGTTTGTGTGGCTGCTTGTACTAGTCCGGACTCATGCCGATTTATAGCGCTAGCTCACTGAGATACCATGCCGCAGTTTAACATGAATACCCCACTCAGACACAGTATACTGACTCCGAGCCGACCAGTCCTTGTTTTGGCCCCTTAATGCCGAGCGCCAGACAGGGTAACAACAAGTACCATCTTTTAACGTCTTTTGGTATTACGCGGTCGGGGGTCGAACCCCGGACCTTCCGCTCTCCGGGCGGACGCTCTACCACTAGACCACGGAGGCGGTCTGTAACGAAGAAGAGATACAGACCCGGGTGATGAATAACACTAGCTGTACAGAAGATGCTTAGTGTCAGCAGCTACATGAAAGAGGACACTCCTTTACATTTATAGCAATGTCGCATGTATGATTAATTATTTGAAAGGGTCAGTGATTAATAGGACCTCGGCACGTCGTTCATTAGTCACCTAGTGACTGTCAACAAAAGTGTGTTGTATATCAGAGTGGTCAAATCAGGACAGTGGCATTTGGTGCAAACGTTCACATACAGTTTCATACAATGTCCTGGAAGATATATACATGTATTCAACACATGATGTTTGCTACTGGTTACTTTAAGATATCAACATATAATAAAATAAAATACACTGTACAATCGAGGATGCATGCGATATACCGTATCATGTTACTGTTAGTGTCCCGCTTGGTAATAAGAATTCAACTAGTTTCGTGACCTGTACATCATTAACAGGTGTATTATAGTTTAGGATGCTTATTCAACGTTTTGTACACTGTAAAGATGTGTTTCGGTTGTATGCTGATGATAGATATTCTAAATACTAATATAACGTGACCACCAATTTTACGTGGTTTGTATAAACACCTGAGAATCTGAGCTTACGAAGGGAGCATGCCCTCGATATCCCCATGGTCTACGCGTTAAACCTCTAAACATGTTTACATGCTAATTCCGTGCAGCATTAAAATTAGTGCTGTGTTTCCGTAAAGTAAATATCATATATTAGGAATACAATTTTGTTATTCCTCACATATGATATTAACGATACGGAAATACACTCGGCTAACCCTTTTTATCATAATAAATGTTTGTTTAAAGGTTGTCGTCGGTGATATCGTAATTCAACCGACAACCGACAACGCATATGTTGAAGTGAAGAAAAAGTATGTATTTTCTTACTTTGCACGGAGGTAGAATAGGTCTTCAGCAACCCATGCTTGCCGTAAAAAGGCGACTATGCTTGTCGTGAAAGGCCACAAACGGGATTGGGTGGTCAGGCTCTCTGACCTGGTTGATGCATGCCATCGATCCCAAGTGCGTGGGTTGATGCTCATGATGTTAATCACTGGATTGTCTGGTCCAGACTCGATTATTTACAGACCGCCGTCATATAGCTGGAATATTGCTGAGTGCGGCGTTAAACAAGAAACAAACAAACAACTTTGTACCGTAGTGATCCTTTCAACAACATGGGTTCCACATACCATCCATGACCGCTGGTGGTTTCTCGCCAGCTACGAGCGGGCGGAACTGTTGGCTTTCATTGGCAGTGACGTCATTCTCCTTGACCGGAACTGTGAGTTCCTGGACCGGATGTGGCGACACGCGGAAGAAGAGGACGGAGTTTGCCGTCACGAAGACGACGTTGAGGGCTGTCAGTAGGATGTACGAGTGTTGTCTAGGTATGCCATTCTCAAACGCTACCTGTAATACAACATTGATAAGAAATACGACGTCGACGATAGTAATGATGTGACAGATGTAACCACATATTGTGCATACTTTTTTATTATTATTCAGAGTCTGCTTTTTAGTGTCTGTTACATGTATTCGGTGTTTAACTTTTATGTATGCCCCCACTCGGCATTAAGCCGATAAAACAAGAACTGGTCGGCCCGGGGTCTACTTGTCTCATGTATGCGGTATGGTATTTCAATAGACTTGCTCTGTAAAACCGGCAACGCACGCACGCACGCACGCACGCACAAACATACTCATGGACACTCAAACACACCCACTTACAGTGAAATAATCTTGATCGCGACATCAAATCCCACTCCACCTCATCTCACCTAAGACGACTGATGGCTTTTAACTGGATTCTATTTAACAATGAATTTTAAAATTTCTACAGTTGGACCAAAACTCTAAGCTCGTGAGATAATTTATTACGTTTATGCCATTGCTCACTGAATGGAACTAGTGTCGTGGTATTAAGTTTCGATAGCATGCATTTGTTTGGAAACTCACAAAAACGTACAACATGCATATATGCAGCAATTGAAACAACTGTACTGGAACAACTGCCAATAACATGAACATAAACAGCAGCAGTGCCATATTACAATGCTGTAACTGAATTATACCCTGCTGTAAATAACAGATGTGGAATATTCATCATATTTCCGAACTAATGTTTTCTTGAAAATGAGAAAAAATTAAAATAGGGGCATACAAAACATATTTTGTATGGGTATGGTTCTGAATGGGCATTAGGATATTTAAAGATCGTAACCTTAAAATATATAAGTACTAAACCATATTTAACATGTACAGTTGTGTGGGGTTGACGTTAAGTGTGCTATCATAATGATTGCCCGTGTAGAACTTTAAGTGAACGCTCCTTCCAAAGTCTCAAAAGGGTTAAAAGAGCACTTTTTCCTACATTTTAAGTCCAAGAATCTCTTTATAATGCATGGATGCTTTGGGATTCCTTTAGATTGAAATGGGTTCTATCGAATTGCTTTGGGTGGTTCGGGATTGTGTGATGTGGAATCTTTTTAACTCGACCTCGACCTTGAGGTCGTGATTCACAATTAGCACGTGGATGTCCATGCATGGCGCACGTGTTGGAGGTTGGGTTATTAGTTGGGAGCATGTGATATGGTGGCCGAGTGGAGACATCGCTTTCGCGCTTTCTCGCTTTCACGCTTTCTCGCTTTCACGCATCTCGCTTTCTCGCTTTCTCGCTTTCGCTCTTTCGCGCTTTCTTGCTTTCTCGCGGTTTAGCACTATCCCCTCTTGGCCACTCGAGGGGTCGCATAAGTCAAGTGATTCCATACGATCAACAGTAATGGATTATTAAACCTGACCTTGGTATCATAAAGGAGCTGACCTTTTAATATAAGGATATATCTGTCTATGTCAACCATACTCTGTACATCACTTGCTTGATAACGGTGTTAGAACCTACACTGAAACGTCGCTCCCAATTGTAAAAAAGAAGTTGTTCGTCCATAGATCTTATCCTTTCTCATTAAAGAGAGCTGATATTTTCCTTTGGTGGTTGGTGTGTTGTTTAACGCCGCACTCAGCAATATTCCAGCTATATGACGGCGGTCTGTAAATAATCGAGTCTGGACCAGGCAATCCAGTAATTAATGTCATGAGCATCGATCCAAGCAATTGGGATCAATGACATGCATCAACCAAGTCAGCGAGCCTGACCACCCGATCCCGTTAGTCGCCTTTTACGACAAGCATAGTCGCCTTTTACGGCAAGCATGGGTTGCTGAAGATCTATTTTACCCCGGAATCTCCACGGGTCTGAGATTTTTCTAGTCACATTTCAAATTATACGTATGGAGAGAATGCTCACATTTTCTCACTCAGTGCTTCAACATAATTTAACTGCACAGACGTAGGTGACTTTAAAACAATCCACGGATTTCTGCGTTAAAGATAATTGATTGATTTATGACCCTATTCAGGAGTTTTATGGGACCCCCCCCCCCCCCCCCCCCCCCCCCCCCGGCCTAGTAATCACCGCTTGTTAGCACTGAGTAGTGTACTTCCTCAAAAACAATAGTGTTTTCCTAAAAAAACACTTAGGTTATATTAATGTTTGTTCAGTATGCTGAGTAGATGTCATCACTAGAAGTCCCCACCAAAGTTATCGTATGGATGTCCATTAGGTAATTTCTTTTTTTTTTGAATAACATATTGTTCTCTGTAAAGCGTAATTTGGAAAAAGATACTTGTTTGTTTTTAAATTCAAGTTGGTATTTCCGCTATTTCCGTCATTTCTGAGACATTAATGCAAAGTTTAATTTAATTAACTCTAGCGTGAATTTCAAGACGTACAGTACATACTATTCAAATGGAGTGAAAGAACACCTGATTCTTTCATATGACTATGGTTAGTCATGACAAAAAGCGATAGAGCGAGAGAGCGACAGAGCGAGGAAGCGATATGTCCCATATGCCGTACAATAATTTGGTGATGTACTGACTGCCTACTGGGTGGTGTAGGGACTGTCTACTGGGTGGTGTACTGACTGTCTACTGGGTGGTGTAGGGACTGTCTGCTGGGTGGTGTACTGACTGTCTACTGGGTGGTGTAGGGACTGTCTGCTGGGTGGTGTACTGACTGTCTACTGGGTGGTGTACTGACTGTCTACTGGGTGGTGTAGGGACTGTCTACTGGGTGGTGTACTGACTGTCTATAGGGTGGTGAACTGACCGTCTACTGGGTGGTAAACTGACTGTCTACAGGGTGGTGTACTGACTGTCTACTGGGTGGTGTAGGGACTGTCTACTGGTTGGTGTACTGACTGTCTACAGGGTGGTATACTGACTGTCTACTGGGTGGTGTAGGGACTGTCTACAGGGTGGTGTACTGACTGTCTACTAGGTGGTATACTGACTGTCTACTAGGTGGTGTACTGACTGTCTACTAGGTGGTGTACTGACTGTCTACTAGGTAGTGTACTGATTGTCTACTAAGTGGTGTAGGGACTGTCTACTAGGTGGTGTAATGACTGTCTACTAGGTGGTGTACTGACTGTCTACTAGGTGGTGTACTGACTGTCTACTAGGTGGTGTACTGACTGTCTACTAGGTGGTGTACTGACTGCCTATAGGGTGGTGTACTGACTGCCTACTGGGTGGTGTACTGACTGTCTACTAGGTGGTGTACTGACTGTCTACTATGTGGTGTACTCCCTGTCTACTAGGTGGTGTACTGACTGTCTACTAGGTGGTGTACTGACTGTCTACTAGGTGGTGTACTGACTGTCTACAGAGTGGTGTACTGACTGCCTACTGGGTGGTGTAGGGACTGTCTACTGGGTGGTGTACTTACTATCTACTGGGTGGTGTACTGACTGTCTACAGGATGGTGTACTGACTGCCTACTGGGTGGTGTAGGGACTGTCTACTGGGTGGTGTACTCACTGTCTACAGGGTGGTGTACTGACTGTCTACAGGGTGGTGTACTGACTGTCTACAGGGTGGTGTACTGACTGTCTAGTGTACAGACTGGCTACAGGGTGGTGTAATGACTGTCTACGGGGCGGTGTACTGACTGTCTAGTGTACTGACTGTCTACAGGGTGGTGTAATGGCTGTCTTCAGGGTGGTATACTGACTGTCTACAGGGTGGTGTACTGACTGTCTACTGGGCGGTGTACTGACTGTCTTGTGTACTGACTGTCTAGTGCACTGACTGGCTACAGGGTGGTGTACTGACTGTCTACAGGGCCGTGTACTGACTGTCTAGTGTACTGTCTACAGGGTGGTGAACTGACTGTCTATAGGGTGATGTACTGACTGTCTACAGGGTGGTGTACTGTCTACAGGGTGGTGTACTGTCTACAGGGCGGTGTACTGACTGTTTACAGGGTGGTTTACTGTCTACGGGGTGGTGTACTGACTGTCTTGTGTACTGACTGTCTAGTGTACTGACTGTCTATTGGACTGACTGTCTATTGGACTGACTGTCTAGTGTACTGACTGTCTAGTGTACTGACTGTCTATTGGACTGACTGTCTAGTGTACTGACTGTCTAGTGTACTGACCTTGATAAGCCACTGGGTGGTGGAAGCAGAGTAGTAGAAGCCGGTCAGGAGGGACACGGCCACAGAGGACCCGCGGTCAAACAAAAACGGAACCACCTGCGTAATGAAATAACACAAAACGTCATAAATGAGAATTTTAACTTACAAAAACACAAAACGGCGCGGATCGATGTTCACAATGTCAATCACAAGATTGTCTAATCCAGATTATAATTTACATGCCGCCGTCATACAACTGGAATATTGCTGAGTGTGGGTGTTAAAACACACCCACACGCACGGACGCACTCAAACGCCGTTACGTGCAGAAATTATATAAGACGCGCCGAATAACCAAACTCACTTCCTCACATGGAACCTTTACTCGAGTCACAACAAACTGTTTATGCTTACCTGGAGATTAGCGGCGTTAATACATACAGCTCCGAATGCCATTGACAATAATCCCGGGCAGATAATCCAGGGTGCATCTGCAATGTATCAGCATGTCATTTCATGACTGCATCGAAGAGTGCTCGGTTCAGGGTTCAGGGACATTAAGATACTACTCCACCGAAGTAGTATAGCATTATACGCAACATTAACATGTATGCCTGACCACATATATCCAAGACGTTGGTGTTCCTTGTTGACGACGTAGCTCACATAGCGGTAGATAACACACACGATGTGTACATGATTAATAGGGAATCCTTCGTCATAAACGATGAATAATGTGTGTGTATTTGGGTGTCTGTGTGAGTGTGTGTTTGTGTTTGTGGTTGTGCATCTGTGTGTGTACCTGTTTGTGTGTGTGTGTCTGCGTGTTTGTGTATCTCGCGACGTTTTAAGTTGTTGTTTCGAAATATTCTGAACAAGTTTTGGATTTTAACATATGTCGATTTTAAACATTATTACGTGTAGCTCCTAGTCTCTGAATGTAAAGACATACGTCCCAACGAATGCGTGAGTGAGTGAGTGAGTGAATATGGTTTTACGCCGCTTTTAGCAATATTCCAGCAATATCACGGCGAAGGACACCAGAAATGGGCTTCACACATCGTACCCATGTCGGGAATCGAACCCGGGTCTTCGGGGTGACGAGCGAACGTTAAAACCACTGGGTTTTGTTGTTGTTGTTGTTGTCGTTTTCGAACCAGCGTATTGCGCAGTATCACTCCATTACAATGTAATCTACGACCTATATATCGGCTGGCGATGCATGACAGATAGGTGTAATAAAAAAGGAGCTAAAACAACACAGTGTAAGAATAAGCGCGAATGCTTTTGATACGACTCGGTGCAAGCAGACAACGGCAGTGGTTCTCGCCAGCTGTTTTACTATTGCACTACTCACTGTTGTCCACGAATGCAAGCATCAGCGTTCCCATACAGAAAGTGACCCTGCAACGTACAGATTACAATGTATTACCATGGGCTTATTGACTGACACAGCAACATACAGCAACATACAGCAACACACCGAGAGGCTAATTACACAAGCAAGCATGAAAGAGAAACGAAAGCGAGGGAGGACAGGTGTGTGTGTGTGGGGGGGGGGGGGGGGGGGGGGGGGGGGGGGGGTATGAGAGTGTGTATTGAGAGCTGACAGCAGACTATTTACGTTATTAACTTCTGCCATCACATTGTCATATGTTAATAAGATTGTATCTTAAAATTAGAGAGAGTGAGTGGTTTTACGCCGATTTTAGGTTAGCAATACCACAGCCCGGGACACCTGAAATGGGCTGTAGTCGTAGTACCCCTTTGGGGAATCGAACCCGGGTCTGGTGATGTCACCAGGTGTTCGCGAAATGCCTGTGGTGGTCAACGTGTCAATACACAGTAGGTTAGGTGGTCAACGTGACAATAGATAGTACCTGTAGTGGTCAACGTGACAATAGATAGTACCTGTGGTGGTCAACGTGACAATTGATAGTACCTGTGGCGGTCAACGTGACAATACACAGTACCTGTGGTGATCAACGTGACAATAGATAGTACATGTGGTGGTCAACGTGACAATAGATAGTAGCTGTGGTGGTCAACGTGACAATACATAGTAGCTGTGGTGGTCAACGTGACAATAGATAGTAGCTGTGGTGGTCAACGTGACAATACACAGTAGCTGTGGTGGTCAACGTGACAATACACCGTAGCTGTTGTGGTCAACGTGTTAACAAACAGTGGCTGTGGTCGTCATCGTGTTAACACACAGTAGCTGTGGTCGTCAACGTGTTAAGACACAGTGGCTGTGGTCGTCAACGTGTTAACACACAGTAGCTGTGGTCGTCAACGTGTTAAGACACCGTAGCTGTGGTCGTCAACGTGTTAAGACACCGTAGCTGTTGTGGTCAACGTGTTAACAAACAGTGGCTGTGGTGGTCAACGTGTTAACACACAGTAGCTGTGGTGGTCATCGTGTTAACACACAGTAGCTGTGGTCGTCAACGTGTTAACACACAGAAGCTGTGGTGGTCAACGTGATAACATAGTAGCTGTGGTGGTCAACGTGTTAACACACAGTAGCTGTGGTGGTCAACGTGATAACACAGTAGCTGTGGTGGTCAACGTGATAACACAGTAGCTGTGGTGGTCAACGTGTTAACAAACAGTGGCTGTTGTGGTCAACGTGTTAACACACAGTAGCTGTGGTGGTCAACGTGTGAACACACAGTGGCTGTGGTCGTCAACGTGTTAACACACAGTAGCTGTGGTGGTCAACGTGATAACACAGTAGCTGTGGTGGTCAACGTGTTAACACACAGTAGCTGTGGTCGTCATCGTGTTAACACACAGTAGCTGTGGTCGTCAACGTGTTAACACACAGTAGCTGTTGTGGTCAACGTGTTAACACACAGTAGCTGTGGTGGTCAACGTGTTAACACACAGTGGCTGTGGTCGTCAACGTGTTAACACACAGTAGCTGTGGTGGTCAACGTGATAACACAGTAGCTGTGGTGGTCAACGTGTTAACACACAGTAGCTGTGGTCGTCATCGTGTTAACACACAGTAGCTGTGGTCGTCAACGTGTTAACACACAGTAGCTGTTGTGGTCAACGTATTAACACAAAGTAGCTGTGGTGGTCAACGTGTTAACACACAGAAGCTGTGGTGGTCATCGTGTTAACACACAGTAGCTGTTGTGGTCAGCGTGTTAACACAAAGTAGCTGTGGTGGTCAACGTGTTAACACACAGTGGCTGTGGTGGTCATCGTGTTAACACACAGTAGCTGTGGTGGTCAACGTGTTAACACACAGTAGCTGTGGTGGTCAACGTGTTAACACACAGTGGCTGTGGTGGTCAACGTGTAAACACACAGTAGCTGTGGTGGTCAACGTGTTAACACACAGTAGCTGTGGTGGTCAACGTGTTAAGACACAGTGGCTGTGGTGGTCAACGTGTAAACACACAGTAGCTGTGGTGGTCATCGTGTTAACACACAGTAGCTGTGGTGGTCAACGTGTTAACACACAGTAGCTGTGGTGGTCAACGTGTTAACACACAGTAGCTGCGGTCGTCAACGTGTTAACACACAGTAGCTGTGGTGGTCAACGTGTAAACACACAGTAGCTGTGGTGGTCAACGTGACAATACATAGTACCTGTGGTTGTTAACAGATCCCAGTGTAATCGAATGTTTATAACGCATAAGGTCGGGGTAACATGAGAGACAAGGAGACAGAGCTGATGATTCCCCATGGTATGCCGAAGCTCGACTTTCCTTATCATAAGTTCAAATCAGTGCCGCGCGGAAACTCTCACTGAGCCTGTCTGTGGCCACAACTACGTAAACTACATACTGGGAACCTGCAAGAAGAAAACTACAAGAATAAAACCAAAAATGCTTCGAAAATTAAGGCAAGCTGAACGAATAGATGTCAGCTGAGGTGAAATTGGGTTTAACGTCGCGTCCAAAATTATTGCACTTATATAGCGAAGTTGAAGAATACATAACTTTAGTGATTTCAGGGATGTTTGTATTTTTGTTTTGTTCTTTCGTTTGTTGTTTAACGTCGCACTTAGCAATATTCCAGCCAAAGACCAGACAATCCAGTGATCATGAAACAACCGTTAGTATCGATCTACGCATTCGGCATACGATAGAATGTGTCAACCAAGTCAGCAAGTCTGACCACCTGTTCCAGTAAGTCGTCTCTTATAACAAGCATAGTGGCCTCCTACGGCACGTATGGGTTTCTAAAGAGCTATTCTCTACCCGAAAGTGAGTGAATATTGTTTTGTGCCACATGAGCCATTGTGCATTTTTTCCGATTGATGGTGCATGGGTATGTAAATCGGTGCAGTGTGGCAGTAGCCCTGGTAGTTATACAACACCACGGTACTGTATCGAGCAATAATCCCGAATATCAACAGTCCAAGTAGAGTGTAGAGGTGTACCGATATCCACATGGTAAAATAGTTTCGAAATGTGCATTTGTGTATTCATTAACAAAACATTGATAATAATCATAATATCAAAGTATGATAATCATCATACGGTGGGATTCCTTGTGTTTAGTATGTCTACTTACGATCCAATGAAACGTAGAACCAGGGGACCAAATCTGTAGAGGATCCAGCCAATCACAGACGTGGCAATACTCAATACCGACACCGCAATGGTAAACCATAGATTCAATACGGCATCTTGTTCCTTACACGAAGCAGGAGGTCGTCTGTCTCCATCACTGACGTCCACACCATCTTCAGTGTCTTGTATGTTATAGGAGGGATAAGCTAGTGACTTGTTACCCGAGTATAAGGTATGTGGTTCTACCTCGCTGTTGCGTATACTCATATGTTCTAGGGAATTTGATACATTGCTGCCTATGGATCCATTGGCTGCGGGATGATTACACAGGAAGTGGTATATACCCTCTTGCTTGAATACATACACGAGGGATGCCCAACCAAAGAATAGTCCACCGAATAGCAAGCTCTCCACAATGCACCAGAGAGCGGCTACAAACCGGAAACGTACAACAAAGGCCAGGGACGTGTCCGCCATTTTGACGTTTTCAAGCTTGCTGTGGTCTTCTTAGAGGCTTGTAGAGAAAATTATACTGCATCTGCAAAGAAGGAAGTTGATACGTTAAGCGAGTGAGGAGGGGGAACAGTATCAAAGTGACTGAGTTGGGTTTAACGCCGTTTTTGACAGTATTCCAGCTACATCACGGCGTGTCAGCTCAAAGTGGGAGGAAAGCTCGAAGTGTGCAGGCCTCAGAGGTTTACCACTTTGGTGAAACCCACGGTGTTGCATGGTGTTGACAAACCTTAAAATAAAATCGGGGCGAGCCGGGATTGTTGCCTTGGATATCCAAACTAAACAGCAAATGTTCAATATGAGATGTCCATTCAGTATTTCCCATCACAGGTATCATACAGCATTGGATGTCACTGATGCGGGTGTCTATATGTGCATAGATAAAATACATAGGACATACTCAATAGGACATCTATAGGACATCTGGCAGACTCGCCATATGCAAGATCATTTGGCAAGTAATAAATTATATTTAAAACATACTTACATTTTCTATATAAAATTTCTATATTTCCCTTTCACGACCATAAATCAATATCGGTACTATTTGTGTGTCAATTATTTGAAAGGCATTATTAGTACATACATGTTTTGAGTATTTACTAACAGGCATATAAATAGTATACAGTGCTTCACGTGCCTGCTCTGGGCGACGCTAGTGATCATCCACCTATCAAACTGAACCCGTTTGCCATCTCTGGGATTTGTGGAGAGGTGAAAATGTTGCCCGTCTTCATAGTGGCTCACTACTGGTTGAGCGTGCACCAAGACACCAATCTCTCTGTCTTTCGTCTATCACAACATTTGCCAATATTGAGGTTGCTGTGGCTGTGCACATTAAATTCTCGAGGCATTGATCGCGACAGGGCTCGTTACCTGTCCGACATGTCGAAGACGTCCTTGCTGCAGAGTTGGAGGAGCAGTCTGTCACCGTCAAGAAAGAAGGTGTCATCACGAATACAAACACATTTCTCGAGAAGTTTACTCGTACATCGCATCCGATCCGCAATTAATTAAAGCAGGTTATTTCAGTATCGGAGTGGAGGTGCATGTCCCTAGTCCACTACGATTTTACAAATGTCAACATTTCGGTCATGGGTTAAAATCATGTAACAATTGGTGGTGTGCCACCGTTGTGGTGACAGCCACGAACACACCGACTGTGAGAATGATTTCAAGTGCTCTAACTATGATGGCCCACATCCTGCTTCATCAAGGTCCGGTCCTGTGCGGCAAGGGGAAGAAAAATATGAAAATTAAATGTGGATGCCAAGAAGATGTTTACAAATCAGATCCCAACTCTTTACCCAATTACATACTCTGCGGCAGTCTATCGTTCTGCAGCAACATCCTCTACTGACTTGACATGGGTCAAGACCGAACTACCTGTTGCTACAGCTTCAATCAATCAGCCTTTTACCTCAATCGTTCAGTCTAGTGCTGGATCTCAGACAGAGAGTCGGCCTGAGCAACAATCTCCAACGTATGTTCCACGTTCAGCCATCGTTCATTTGACAAAGAAGAAAGAAGAAAATTAAACAGAAAATAAACAACTACCGTCCTTACACCTATTTATTCTAGCCATATCACAGCGTGTGAGCTTAATGTGGGAGGAAAGCCCGAAGTGATGCAGGTATTAGACGGGTATGGTGATGACAAACCTGGAAACATAATCGGGGTGAACCATGATTCGAACCAACAATCATAGGTTTCTGGCGTGACAAGGGACGCAACTCTGCATAGCTAATTCCCGCGCCTTAGACGGCTGGGCCTCCCGTGCCCTTTTATAATGCAATGCAATTGCAGAGGATTTATAATAATAATAATTCTAATGAGATACAATTACAGATTCGGCATTTTTAACCTTCAGCACTACGTCTTCAAGAAACCTACCCTGAAAATACAGATACGTTTACTTTAAGACAGTACCATGACTATCATTCCTTTTCTCCTCCGAGAGATGAAGCAACGGGAGGCTCTACTATCTTGGTGCGGCAGGGCATCATACATAGCCCTATCCCTCTTAATGCACATCTTCGAACTGTTACTTGTACGCTGTGCACCTTCCTCTCATCTTCGACAGTCTGATCTTCAAAATCTATGTGATTACCTCCAAAGCCCTGCATCACCATGGGTGATCTGAACGGACACAATCTGCTTTGGGGATGTGAAAATGCTAACAGTAAAGGAAACCTCATTGAGGATTTTCTTTCTGACAATAACTATCTTTTATGATGATTCCACCACTCAATTACACTGGAACGTATTCTGCCCTCGATTTGTCAAACATTTATAATGAATTTGCATGGTCAGTCCATGATGACCTCTGCGAGATCACTTTGCTACTATTCTTAAAACTGATAACCCTACTGATGTACCACCATTAATAAGGAGGAACTTTACCTTGGTTAATTGGCCACTATATGAGGGGGGTACGGGTGGCCCATGCCAGTCGTCTAAGCGCCGCGATTCGCTGTGCGTCCCTTGTACACGCCAGAAACCTATGATTGTGGTTCGAGTCCCGGTTCGCCCCGATTATGTTTCTAGGTTTATCAGCACCATACCCGTGCTCGTGGGTTTCACCGAAGTGGTAAACGTCTGAGACCTGCATCACTTCGGGCTTTCTTCCCACATTAAGCTGACACGCCGTGAGTGATATAACTGGAATACTGTTAAAAGCGGCGTTAAACCCAACCACATCATTCAAAGTACATTTATTTCTACCATAGTTTTAATCGTAGCACACATGTAAATTTTATTTATTGGCTTAACTTTAGAACAAACGCCAGTGGCCAGAGGGAGGATGTAGATCACGCTAGCATGGTGGCCTAATTTTGGTTGCTGGTGGTCTCTAGCCCATTTTTATTTGTTTTGTTATGAATAGTCTAATTTATATGGTTACATGGTGGTATTATTCTACATCTGTGACAGGTTTTATAGTCTAATTGTATGTATCATTAATATATAACTGGATTTAGTCACGATATGGCGGAAATATTGCCGCTGTGACTATAAACCTTAACTCACTCACTCACTGACATGACTATGACTACCTTTTTCTTATATTTTACTCATTGCCATTTTAAAGACAGGAAAAGAAGAAAAAAGTGTTAAAAGTCCATGCTCCAGACAAACTTCACTGACGTAATGTAATCAGTTTGTGACGTCATGATCAATGGATGACGGCATATCGCAATGATCACAACAATGAAGTGAACATTCAGCTTCGAGAGCCCCTACAGCACACAGGTGCAGATATCGGAAAAGGACAATCATAGGTTTCCCAATGCCCAAGGGACGCAGCTCTGCACAGCGAATCGCGGCGCCTTAGACGACTGGGCCCCCAGTGCCCCCTATGAATCCTAGAATGTACTCACTTGACCTTCAAACAAACAAACGAACAAACAAAGTAGGCAAGGTATACGGCACAGTCAATGTGGGGATATAATCGTCTATGACATAGGAATGTTGATATCAGGACAGGATTTAAATGCACCAAGCAACGTCCTTTCAACCGCTAAATAAATAATAATATAATGTTACGCTCAGGTGCATATTTATAGAATTACCCACGAGGTACGAGTGATTACGGAAAATATGTCACGAGTGAAATTAATGTTTTAAGTTCCGAGCTTTAGCGAGGAACTTAAAACATTAATTTCACGAGTCACGCACTGTCTACTCATTCCAACCACCTTACTCAATTACATGTAACGTGCTGTTACGCGTGAAAAATAATAGTTCTGTTAAAAAATTGTAAAGATCACATTATTGCAGTTATATTTCTGTCTGATTTACACAGCGTACACTATCTAGCATTGATAAAGAAGACAGGTTCCCAAAAAGGTTCATCAGGTTTTTTAATCAAAGCTTGTTTTGACAAGATCTCATCACTGACAGACAGCCCCCGTCGTGCATCGGCAGATGGAAAACATTTACTTTGACAGGTCTCAAATGGCCAGCCATGGTTGTTTACAAACGGGGACGTAGTTTTGGTTTTTACTGTAAAATGAAAATCATGTGAAATAAATGAAAAAAATGATAATGTGAAATCATGTTGTTGATATGAAACTATGTGTCTAGTCTAAAAATCTCGAGTCAGTGAGATTGTAGCACGTAAAACATCTGAAGGGAAAGGCGTGGATTTGTGAATGAATGAGATGAGAAAAAAATAGTTCCGTTGTCCAATGAAAATTGATCTTTGTTCCACTGACCAATCAGCTTCGAGAATCACTAATTGCACACTGTGCAAATATCAAAAAGTTATTACACTGCATATGGGCTCTATAAATATAGTGTTGGCAATTACGGGACCCTGAACACAAAGAGTACAAACGTATATGCCTTTCTATCATATTCACCCAACTCCAACCGCGACTATGTATTATGAGTATGCACGGTGTTTACTAATGCTCTCTTTTCTAATCAAGTCGCCATACTTGTAGGATTGTATGTACTCATTAGCCGTGTGCAAAATGTAAACCCACTTGTATTTTCGTCTTAGATAGTTACCTTCTTTTTTAGTAAATAGGGCTGGGATTTTATGGATAACACATTGTCCCCGAACATTTAAATAATATTATTATTGTTACCACATATATTGTCTACGGGCATGTACTGTCGCTGGCGACAAAATATGCCAATGCTCACGGCGCATATTGTCGCAAATAGTCCCCTATTATGGCCGGCGGCGATAAATACAAAGGGTGCAGGGATTTGGAATTGATATCCAAGCATATATGTTTTGCTCTGACGAATGCCTAAAATACGTGCAGTGAACCTTGGCACATATTGTCGCCTACGACAACATACGGCCAGCTACACAGTAGGCCGGCGACAACGTGTGCCGGAATAATTATGCTTCATATTGTTGGGGAAAAAAGAAATTGTCTGCCACAAAAATTACATTGTTGCAATGTGTTTTTATAAAAACATATTTTGGCTCCTGGTTATAATTCAGAAAGTATCTGTTCTCAATCCCGCAGACTCACAATGCTTTTTGATACACATCAGTAACTGCAACCT